ATATGTGTTGCCAACCTTTATCGTCCGTTTTTCAGAAGTTTAATTTAAAGAAGCAAAAATGAGCAAGCCAAAGCCAACTATCGCCAACCTCTCTCCAAGTAAGGAGCTGATCGACTCAAAGTCCTTAAAGCACAAAGGACGGTGAAGAAAAGTCATTAACTATGTCATTAGATCCAATCAAATTGGAATGACGTCTCGATATACTAAACCCACTTAGTGAAAAATTTATAAAATATCAATCTAAAATTGAAGAGAGTTAGAGGTCATAATTGTAGAAACAAAATCTTTAATTAAAACAATTTTGCTGAAACATCATTTGTGACGTCTCACAGTTCAAGACTCAAAAGAATAAATTTGCCGAAATTATATTCGGAATTTAAAAATTTCATGAATTTGTTTAAGAATTTGGTTCACAATGATCCAATCATCCCAGATATTTGAAAAATTTAACCATCTGGTTAATTGTATGTCTGGGGAAACTCTGGGCACGGTAAAAGCGTTCCAAATGTCGGATGAAAACTATCTTTATTTATTGATATCGCTGAGCGATGAGAAACAAATCACAAATGCGATAATTATACACATATTTATGACAAAAGTTGACTCTGCCACCTGATAAAGGTGGGAAGAATAGCTGAATTACGACAGGTAACCATTATTGAAGGATTGTGAAAATACCTTAAAGACGCTACCAGCACTTATCAGCTGAAGGAGCATCATCTTTGAGGACGAGACCCATAGCAAATACGCAGCAGCCGACATACCAACAGTGCATATCAAAGAACCACTATTTAACAGCTTGCCCCACTTTTAAAACTCTTTCTGTTCAACAGAGATTTGAGTCTGTCAAATCGGCTCCCTTATGCATAAACTGCTTGCGTAAGGTACATACGGTATTCAAATGCTGAGCGGATCGATATTGCGTGTGTAATCGATCTCCTTTGTTGTCTGTTTCCTTCGTTGCTGAACTTCATCCGCAACCAATAACAACCACACACACAATGCATACAATAAATTTGGCTGTTGGCAACAGCGATTTATTCTTGTTAGATCAAGCTGTGGAGAATTCCTTCCCGCAGGAGCCTTGCTGGACTTAGGATCACAAGTCAACTTTATGACGGAGGAAACAGGATTATAAATATTATAGGAATTAGAAAATCAACTACAAAAGTCGGGTTAAATTAAAAGTGGCCCCATCAACGCTACAGAAAACTCTTTTGGAGTGGATTGTGTCCAGCCAATATGTCAGCAGTCTTAATCCTCCTCTTGAAGTAAATAGCACATTATGCCAAACTGAAGGAGGCTTAACGTCAATAGATCCAGTAGTCCAAAAATTCTGGGCTCTGGAGGAACTTCCTTCAAAAACAATTGGCAACAAATTCACACCTGAACAAAATGAGTGTGAACAATTTTTCGTCAATACAACGGAAGTATTACCTTCAGGAAGGCTTCAGGTCAGAATGCCCTTTAAGGCTGACCGAAAGTTAGTTGGTCACTCTATGAAATCACAGTTCGGCGGTTTCAGGCCCTGGAGAGGAGAACATTGAAAGATCCAGAACTTCCTAAAATGTGTCTGGACTTCATGAATGAGCATAAAGCGCTAGGTCACATGAGTCCAAAAAATAATAAGAGCCCGAGTGAGCCACACTATTTCTTCCCACATCAGTGCGTTTTGAGGCCTGAAAGCACAACAACAAAATTATGAGTTGCCCTTGATGCGTCGAGTTGTAGTTCTTCTCAAATTTCACTAAATGAACTTTTGATGGTAGGCCCAACCATCCAAGAAAAATTATAYTCAACTCTTCTTCGTTTTCGTTTACATAYGTAAGTACGCTTTAACGGCAGACATTATTAAAATGTAACGCCAAATAATCATGCATGGAAAAGATAGAAACTTTCAGCTCATTATTTACAGAGAGCATCCCTCAGAGCAGAGCAAGTTCAGATGTTTTGACTTAACACCGTCAGTTAGGGCATTGCATCTTCACCATTTCTAGGAACCTGTTTTTTAACAAATGCTCAGCGATGCTAATACAACTATATATCCAATCAGTTCATTGGCTATTATCACCCTAAATTTTTCGACAGTAATTGTACTAAAAAGTCATTAAATTTCAATGACAAAAACTCAGTAAACAAGCCCTAGGAATTCATTCGTTGCCGAAAGATTATTTCCTTCGATTTGTTGCTACTAAACGAAACATACTGTCAGTCTCTGCTCGCCTTTTCAATCCTCTTGGATTATAGCCCCACTAGTTACCATAGCAAAAATCTTATTGCAAGAGCTTTGGATCCAAAAACCTAGATTAATTACATGGCTTTTGACATTGGCGATACRTGCCAACAAAACGAAATACTGCGATCAAGGGTCTCGGGGTTGCAACGTGGATTAATTGAATAATTCAATACGGTTTGGCGGTCCACAGTTCCTCGTAGAAGACTCCGCTTTATGGCCAATTAACACTCACTTCCAGCTCTTCCCAGACGACGAAGCATTAGAGAAGAAGAAAAATACTTTCATACTACCCATAAATGTGAGAGAGAATACATTATTGAACCTTATCGAAAAATTCTTTTCTCTTCAAAAATTGCTTCATGWGGTTGCCTATTTATTATGGTGAGTTAGACGACAAAAATTGCTTACGGAGGGAAGGAATCTAACATCTGACGAATTACAAATGAGTTTATTGAAAATTTTGTAATTGATCCAACATTCGGAATTTTCGAATGAAATCCAAAAACTGCTTAAAGGCACCACGCAAACTTGCAAAAAGTACATTCGTTCTTGCATGAGTACCCGGATATGTCGCTTTCATTCAAATTAATCCGAGTAGGAGGTCGCCTTTTAAATGCACCTCTCCCATACGACGCCAAATTCCCATTATTACTGAATAAAAATTCGCATTTCGTTATCACTTACTTACGGTTTCTGCACTTTCGAAATCACCACGCTGGGGCAAAAGCTTTGGTTGCGCTTCTTCGAGAACGCATATGGCTAATTAATGCCAGAGAAGCTTGCAGTAGAACCGTAAGAAACTGTACACACTGCTTTTATTATAAGCCGAAGTTGCAAACGCAAATAATGGGGAATTTGCCAGTTGAAAGACTTTGATGGATTTTTGTGGTCCAATTTTTAGTACATTAAAAATACGCTGCCGATCACCCGTAAAAACTTATATCGCAGTTTTTGTTTTTCTCACGTCAAAAGCAGTACACTTATGTAGAATTAGTTTCTGACTTATCGACTAATTGTTTTATACAGACGACAACGCAACCAACTTCKTCGGCGCCGTCGAAGGAGGGTTCAAATTCTCCTTTATACCACCGAGGGCGCCGCACTTCGCACTTTAAATTCGCTAAGACACAGGCAAGGTAGTAAGTAGCAAAGTAGCAAGTAAAAAAGCTTGAACATTTTTCAATATGTATTCGGTTAATGCCGATTTATGGGCGTGGCATGGCATACAACCGTTACTTGACCAAATATTATACTCTGTTGCAACAGGTTGCAAAAGTAAAATATGAAAAATAATTAAATATTAATGAAAAATATTTAACTATGAGTTTTCCGTTTGTGTAAAAAGGGTTAGCTGAAGTCAGCTGAAATGCTTTACAGCAAAGATTACAATGATACACACAGCATACTTTGTATATTATTATTTAAACATTCACTTATCACCACAGCGGATCTTTATATACATTGTTTTACATATATACATTCTTTGACAATATGTACTCAAATTTATTGTTGTTCGTGAAAGTTATTACGATTACAATGAACAACTTCAAAAGGTTTTCGTTTTTCAATTAAAATGCTGGGAGAATCGAATGGCCCCAGAATCGTCGCTATTAAATGACTCTATTACTCTTTTGAGCTCATTGAAATAATCAGAATATTAAGCAGCAGATTTAAGCCATATACATACTTTAATAAGTTACTCATGGTCTTGGCGATAGAGGTACACAAGCGAAATGCATTGAAATGCATTGCGTCTTTATGGAGCCTTCAAAAATTTAAGCAAGTTAAATGTTCTAAAATATTTTATCAGCACTTTACAATTAAAAATACGTTTTCATATTTGAAATGAAAATGTAAACAGTAAAAAACTGTTTCCGCTAGTCTATGTAATTCAAGCGAAAGACAAATGAAACACATCATTTTAGGATACATAACCTGGAGAGCATTAACAGCAGCCGGTATATATGTTACTGCATCCGTAATAATAACTACGACTTTGTTATACTGAATACCTGCATTGAAATTGGCTTCACATTAATTATTTTTGTAGCCGTAACAAAGCAACAATTTTTTTCCACACAAAACTTGTTTGGTAATCAGCTCATCGATACCTAAGGTTAAACACTTCGCCAGAAAAAATTTATGTAATTTTTCTATTTAAAGATTGCTATTTGGTTTTCGAATAAAGTGCAAAATGGAAATTTTGGAAACATGTTTTTAAGTATTAAATATGCAAAATGCATATGAAACATGCAACATGGATTTTTAAGCAAATATCCGCTCTGCTTACAAGTATTACTCAATAAGTAACTTATTTATATATAAAATTTTCCTATAAACTTTAAAACGGTGTAAATATATAAGCTGCATTTTGGTATAACCAAATCAAAACAATTAGCAACAATCTCATAAATATGAAGTTCAACTTTTGCATGGTCCATTACAGCATAAAATGTAGTTAGGAATGCAACGGGGTCTCATGGTTTCCACTACTGCGGCTTCAAAACACCAATTGATCTTCAAAGATTTGAAGGGATATGCCAACATACTTGAATTGAAAGTTAACTGCCAGACCACACATGCTGAAATAATTCTTTTGCAAACAAAAGATTCTATTTATTTTTGTATTTAATTAAGCTCATTTGAACAACGCTGTGTCTATTTGCGTAATCGTAAATATTAACTTATTCTTTTCTCTAAGCAGTTATCGCCTAGTTATCTTTTTTATAAATACTTATTTTGTTAAAATCAATTTTKTTTTCAGGCTGCTGAAGAGGAAGCGTTTAAATACGAGATGTCAATCAAACCAGCAGATTTTCTAGCGCCATATTTAATATCTCATAAAAAGCCGTCACTCACATATGAAGAATCATGGGCAGCTTACAATGAATGCTTATTCGAACTTAAAACCCGGTTTGTGAGGCTGCTAAATGACCTTCAACGTCAATACGAAGATGTATGTAAAAATTTGCACTATGCTAAGATTATAAAGGTGACGTGCTTTTAATATTTATTTGCAGCTTACTTCTGAAGCTAAGTCACTTCAAAATTGTTTAAATAAATTTGAAGACCAGTTTGATAACTATAATTATGAGAAACTTGTGGAGCAAGCTGATGTCATCGCCTTGCACAAGCGAATGATTCAACAACGATTGACTTTAGCACATGAAGAATCCCAAAAAAAATATGAAACTGTAAAAAAATCTCTTCTGAGAGATCCTCGTCTTAACTTAAATCGTGCAATGTCAAGAGCGGAATATTAAATACATATTATACATATACCTACCTAAATACTCTTTACACATGCAACCAATTTAACAAAGAAATATTTTTATACTCTCGCCACATATTGCTAATAACATCTAAAAGCAGTCGAGATTTAGTTAGAGTTAAATAGGAATGTACATAAATAATTAGGGCGAGTTAAATTCCATGAGCGATAACTTGAGTAAACATTGAGATAAAACTTTCTATAAGTGTTGCTTGGCAATAATTAAGTTTCAAATTAACTTACAAATTTATATAGGGCGGAACAGTAGATAAGAGTACATGTGAACTTAATACATACTTATGTGTAATGCTCATATTCCGTAACTTGCCGAAGACGAGCCCACTGCTATATAATATTTATTTGAAGACTTTGCGTTATAACTTATCCAATGGATACATCAGAAGAATAAAATCTCAAATATTGGTGCCAAAGGGCTTCATAAGAGCTTATGTATATACTTGTATATGAAAAATCGACAACAGGCGTTATGGCACACCTTTAGGTAAAATTACATATCTCCGAAACTACTTTACTAATATAATCCAATTTGGGTGAGGAAAGGTTGGAAATCGGAATACAACGTAGTCAATAAACACTTGTATAAGTCCTTAAAGTTATGACATGTAACATCTAAAAATAGTCGGAAACGGATCATGTGAGCCTTCGTGCCAGTGACAAAATGCTTTCCAAAAAAAAAAAAAAAAAAAAAAAGTAAGGAAGGGCTAAATTCGGGTGTCACCGAACATTTTATACTCTCGCATGATAAAGTGATAATCGAGATTTCAGGCGTGGTTGTGAACCGAT